CTTGAGATAAGGAAAATGTCAGCCGCCTTCTCCTCTCTCCTGTAGCCCAAAGCGCCGGGAAGTTCCTCCGTAGGAAATGTAAATGCTTGCCCAGGTGCAGAGGATGAGCACGAGATGGAGGGAGCCTCAAGAGGCTGTGCGAGCATCTCCGCCAGGAGATAAAACTTGCAGCGTAGGCGTAACACGGAGCCTCCCTCCCACCCCCACTGAACAGAATATTTCATAGCTCTTAGAAGCCGAAGCTCCCTTGTAATTATCCAAAGTAAACAGCACGTGTTATTAGTTTAAAATGATTTTTTTTTTCCCCCTCCCCGGGCCCCTGGAGCAGAATGGAGGTGTAATTGTGCTAAGGAGTTAGCAGGGGAGAGCACAGCTTTTGGTCACATTCAAGTTGGAGGGCTTGAGCCAGGGAGGCTGGTATGAAAGGCTGGTATTTGCATAAGCAGCGTGCATCCCTACAAAAAAAGAAAGATATCAGGGGCTTGCAAAATTCAATCAAGGCTGGGAGGGAAGAAAAAAAAAGAAGGGAGGGGTGGAAGGGAGGGGGGGGAAAAATTGACAGTGAAAAAGGTTTTTCTGAGTAACACCCTGGCGAGATTAAATTGTCCAGAAAGTTTCTCCGTGTGAGCCGGTGAAGCGGAGGCTGGGCTGAGGGCAGGGGAGGAGCGGGGTCCCTCCTTCCTGGCCTCAATAGGGGATAGGAATCTGATTAGGCAGAGTGTTCTGCATCCATTTACCATTATTTGAGGGGTTTTTTTTTTCCCCTTACCACCGCCCAGAATTGCTGTGGCGGGGCAGTTTGTCAGCTTATAAACCTCAGTGCTGGCTTTGTAGGGACACAAGGAGGCATAGGAGCAAGTCTTGGGGCAGAGGCTGAGCTGTAATTTCAAGTATCTATGCATTGTTCTTTTTTAAAACAGTGATAATAATTCCACATGCTAGTTTGTGGGATGTTTTCCTTGCGCAGGGCACTGGATAGGGAAGGCATCCTTGGGCTGGGATAGGGTCTTGACAGAGCCCTATCTTTGCAGACACCCACAGTGCTAGGCTGAACTCTGATTGTAGAGAAAGTGCATGCAGGAGATTTAGGCGTTCCTAAAGCTTATGTTAAATAAGTTGGGTCAGACCATCCTCTCCTTCCCTCAGTTACTGAGTGCCTGCAACTGCTGCAAACTGAAGCTGCAAACGCACCAGGCCAGGCAGAGGGTAATTTCCAGGGCAGGTTGATGTCTGGTACCAAGGAACAGCTTCTCTATCTGCACCATAGAGGAGTTTCTCTGTAGGCCACAGCAAGCTCACCCTGTGCCTGCAGAAGGCAGAGGGCTTTACCTGCCAGGTAAAGGCTTTTTGCTGGTGAGCACAAGGATTCAGCCTCCTTCTCCTCCTCTCCTGGGCTTGCAAAAGCACCCACCACCATTCGGATCTTGTCTGCCCTGACCTCAGCCTTGGGGGGACATTGGGAATGACTCCTGATCTCACATAGGACAAAGAAGTGCTGAGCCTTGGCTTCTTGCAGCCTGAGTCTCCCTACATGCGTGCCAGCGTGGGGTCCATCCTCTCAGCACCCTATTTCTGCAGAGGCAGTCTTTGGTCCTTCCCCAAACACATGCACATGGGGTGGGTTTGGCCTCTCACTCTCTCAAGTTTTAGGCTTGCTTCGAAGTTGTGAAAAGGAAGGGATTTTCCTTGGATTTCCATCAAGTGCTTTATGAATATTGCAATAAAGGGGTTACAGAAGATCTATTTTTAAGAGAGAGAAAAAATACCCGTGAAAATTGCAGCCTGGACCCCAGAGTGTAGAGTATTTGCACAGTTCAAAGAGTTACGGTGGTTCATCCAGTCACAGCCCAGGAACGTCGTGGTGCGACCTACAGCAGATCACATGCTGGCTACTCCCAGGGCGGCTCATTAGAGAGCCACACAGAAGATTTATCTCTTAAAATGGGCTTGCAAATATTTTATAAAATTTGCAATATTTTATAAAATTGCAATTTGGTGCAATAGAAAGAATAAATTAGCCAGCTGATGGTTCCTTTTGCACTCTGGATCCAAGTGTACTCAAGGATTAGTTATATTACTCTTTACCCCTTCCAACATAACAGTTTATAGGCAAAGCAAAGGGAAGACAGCAAAGGCATGGGACTGGTTTGGGGGCTAGGGAATATACTCTCAACATGGATAAAGTGTAAAGGAAATAGAACAAAAAATCAGGAAAAAGGGAGGAGAACATGCTGCAAGGTGCAAGATGTGTGGGGCAAAGCACAGGAGGTACAGGGAAAGCTGAGAAGGGGACTTCTGCTGAGTGTCACAGCTTTGGCTCCAGCTCGGTGTCTTGGTATCACTTTCTCCAGCCAGGCAAGGGCGCTGAGGGCAGGGAAAGTTAACACGAAGATTAAAACATCAGAGGGCTGTGCCTTTAGTGGCTCTGACATGCAGAGTAATCCCATGCCCCAAAGCCTAGGGAGGAAGGACAAGCGGTGAGCCCTCCCCTGGCTGGCGATGTGCGGGGCAGGCAGAGGTAGGGGGTTGAGGCGGGCGCAGGGTAAGCTCGGTGTCTTGAGGACCGTGGTTTTCCCGGTTGGGAAGGGGGAAAGGTGGTCCAGAGCTGTGAGAAATGTGTGGTGAGGAGGGAAAGAGGATTGGAGTTTTGCTCCATCAGTGAGACAAGTTGGTCTGTTCTCGACTGAGTGCTGCTGCACCATTTCCCTGACAGAGATCATAACCACTCCATTTTTTTTCTTTCCTTCCTAGATCCCAGCGAGTGGAGAAGGGATTTTTCAAGCCTGTGAGTTCCTTGGAGCTGTTGGCTACCGCCTGCCCAGACTTGCCACCTGACTTCTCCGAGTTTCTCCAGGAGGGTCCCAACTGCTTCTTCATTGGCCCCAGAGAGGAGACAGCTTTGATTCAGGAGCACAGCGGGTTTCTGCATCACTTCGAATCATGCCGGTCCACCCGTGGGGAGGGAGCCAGGGCAACACAAGGGATCATCCCACATCACTCCTGTATGTTGCCTTCAGTGCCCTCAATACCCCTGAGCAGGACCAAAGCGCTTAGACAGAGAGACCCAAGCCAGTCACTGTAACAACTGGTGAAATACCGGGTGTGCGAAGGTTGGAAGGAGCTTTTCGCTCCCAGCTTTGCTCATGGAGCAGAGCTTGGCCCTTGCTGCTCTTGATCCCTGGGTCTGTGGAGCTGTGGGAGCATAGCCTTCCCAAAGGCACTGTGCTTGTGGCCCAGAGGACCGTGAGCCTGTCCAGGCCAGACAGCCCTGCTGCTGTTGTACTGCACCCTCTCTGTTCCTGTAAGAGAAACGTACTGCCTGTAATTATCTCCCATTCAAATCCCGCCCCCCCATGCGCTGTTGAAAATAAACTCTCCCTTTTGCAAAAAGTGAGCCGTGTGATTTGGTGCAATCTCAAGATGGAGGAGGCAATGGGCACAAAATAAACCCAGGCAAATCAACAGGGAAGTGGGAGCAGCCAGGAGCCAAGCGGCCGGGCTGCGCCGTGCCCCGCATCAGGCACATTTCCCTGAAAGCCTGAGCGAATCCCTCGCCGCTCAATGATCTTTATTTGGTCTGAACCCCGTCTGGGAAGTAACCGCTAAACCCAATGCAAACAGACCCCCGTGAAAGAATATAATGAATATGTCTCTCAAATGATTTGGAGCCCTTCTGCCTGCAGAGCAGGGTTCCCCATTGTGCCCCGCTCCCGGCGTGCTCGGGGCAGGCTGCGCGAGGTGGCCGCTTTCCCAGCTGAAATCCGAAAAAAGCAAACAATGGGTCAAGGCCGGCATTGTGCAAGCCCAGGCAGGCAGAAGGAGCGCAGCCCGGCATGGCCAAGTTCAAGGCTGGGCAGGGGGCCGGGCGCGCGGGGATGCTAATGGGGGCTGCGCGGGGGCCGTGGAGCAGGGGGGTCAGGGGCTCTGCGTGCCGTTATCCTGTGCAGCCACGAGCACCCAAAAACCATTTCATACAGAGGCAAAGGGATGTGATGGCCCAGTGCAGCGAGGGGTGCTGGGGGTGCTGGTGGCACTGGGGAATTTGGGTTTGCTGGTACTTAGGGAGCTGGTATTGCTGGGGAGGGTTGGTGTGAGTTGCAGGACTGGTGCTACTGGGGATGGACCAGTGTTATTGAGGTGGTACAGGGGTATCTGGTGTTGCTAAGGAGTATGACTGGGGGAACTGGTGCTGGGGGGGGGGCTGCAAATGGAGATGATGGCAAAATACGGGGCCCTGCTAGTGCAGTGTGCATTCTGGGGGTGATCTGGGTTTGGGAGCCTCGCAGAGGACACTGCCTCTTTGGGTCTGCCCAGCGCTCCAGGCCCGAGCAGAGACCCCCCCACGCTCCCTCGTCTCCCCGGCGCTCCCCCCTCCCCGGATGAAGTGTGCGGAGACAGGCGGAGCGGCCCGTGGAAAAACACCATGGAGGGCCCGCACAAAGGGGGTTTTATTCAAATTTGTTTAGAGTTTAGCGGATTTGCATGAAAAATGTGTGAGAAAAGCCGGCTCCAATGACCTCATCCCCAGCTGCCATTAATGTTCAATTAAGTGCTGAATAGTAGCAAAGGGGGGACCGGCCGGGACGTGCAGAGAATCCAGGCTCGGGCGCAGACTGTGAGAACCGGGCGGCCCCCCCGACCGTCTGGCCCCGGCCAGCCCCGACGGGGTCCCCCCGCCGCCGCCCCCCTCCGCACCGGGAGCTGCGCTGAGCCTGTCGGGTCTCAGCCCGTCTGGGTTATTCCCCGGATTACTCGTATCCTGAAGCAGAGTGCCCCCCCGGCAAAGGTGGGTTTGGGGGGGGTAATGCCCGCTCACTGCGCCGCCGGGGCTGTTGTCACTCACCCCGCAGCCCGCCTCGCCCGGCCCAGAGCCGCTCTCTGCCTGGCAGACGGTGTCAAAGCCCAAGTTCAAGTCCACGCCGAGGGGCTCTGCCCCGGGATTCCCAGCTCCTTTCCATCCTCCGCCTTTTGTTCGCCTCTGACAATTGCTCTTTATTTCTTACACACCCCCAGCCTCCCCCCAGCGCCCCCCTCCCTACCCGCACTTGGCACCGTTTAGCTGTCTGCCTGCGAACTTAACAACCCCAGTTCTTGGTATAAGCACTCAAATTATCCCTCTTTCTACATATAAACACGGCCCGGGGTGTGCGGCTCTCCCCGGCCGCGGGGTCCCCCCGGCGCAGCCCGGCTACCCCGCACCGACCCCGGCCCCGGCCGGAGGAAGTTTCTGCTGCGGGACACGGCAGGAGAAAACGAGCCGGATCCAGAACTCCCCGCTCTGCGGGGCTCCCCCGGGCCAGCGCTCAGGTAAGGCAACACACATCCCCATTTGCTTTTGGGGGGCTGCCTCTGCTGCGGGGCGTGATGACACAGCAGGTTTAGGGGAAAGATGGGGGGGGGTGTCTCTCTTCAGGGGTTCCCGCATACTCCAGCAAAACCAGCCCTGCTTCGAGCACGCTGATGCAGAGCCCCGAGCCGGCCTCCCCCGGGGGTGCGGTTTCCCCCCAGCTGGGGTGCGAGGGGGACACCGGCTGGCCGGGGGCAGCCCGAAAGCCAGGGGAGGGGACCTTCCCAAACCTGCCTCTGCCCCGGCCTACCCTCTCTCCGCCCCCCCTCGTGAGGGGAACACCCACATGGGGAGCGGGCTGGGGGGCACCCCAGCGGGCCCCGGGGGCTCCCGAGCACCGACATCCGCGGGTCCGCTCCCCTCCGGGACGGGGCTTCGGGGTAAAGCCCGCGCCGGGGGTCAGCAGCAGCATCCCAGCTTGGTCACACCTCCCTCTGCACAGGTGTGATACATGGGATTGAGGAGGCCATAGGGTGACCGGGAGGGGGCTGTGTGACCCTGCAAATAAACCCCCTCCCAGCGCCTGCAGCTGAGTAGTGCTGGGATAAACTGGGGCAGGGCTGGTCCGAGGGCATCGGACACATTTGGGGTTTCGGCTGATTTTTTTTTTTCTAAGACAATTTCGGAAGAAGTAGGAGGAATAAACACACACTCCCACACCTTTCGCGGCTAAAACAGAGATAAAGGACGGAGGGAGCGAACACACCTTCACTGGGAAAGGGAGCAAGATTTGGGACAGGGGGAAAAAAAAGGAGGGGATAAAAGGCTGAGAAGAGACAGGGAAGAGGTGGGATACCAGGTGGGGAAGCAGGAGCGGATTCCCCCAAACCCGTCCTCGAGCCCAGCGCAGCGAGGCGGGCGCCCTTCACCGACGCCTCGGGGCGGGGCGGCCCCGCGGCTCGGGGACACCGGGGGGGCCGTGCCGTGCCTCGGGCCCGGGGCTGTCACGTCGCATCGCGTCACGCAGCATCGTGGAGTATAATGTGGAGCCATAAATTATAGCTTAACATAGAATATATGTGTTCTATACATATATATGTGGAATGGAGCGTATATTGTATTGCATTGTAGCCGCGAACTGTGAACGGGTTTCTCCCCGTCCGAACGGCCCCTGGGGTGTGTGGGGGGGGGTCGCGCGTTGCTGTGCAGAGGGTGCGCTGGGGTCGCCGCAAGATCTCCCTCTCCCCAAAACAGTCCTGCGCTCCCACAGGCGTGTTTAACTGTAGCGGCGTGGGCACACCTCGGGGCCGTGGGAGAGGCCGCGCTTTTTTTTCTAGTGGCTATTTAAAAAATCCACATCGGCACCGGTGCCTATGTCCGTCCTTTCTGTGGGCCCGCAAGCGCGTGTACACACGGCTGCTTCTCCCTGCTAGTGCCCGTGGACACACCTCACCCCTCTCAGCAGAGGAACCAAGGGCGAGCCCCTCCGGGGCGCCCACCCGCGGCTCCGCGGCCACGGGGACCTCGCACAGCGGTCACAAGGAGCCGAGGGCTCAGCACCCGGGCAGGTGCCGGAGCCCCTCGGAAGGAGGGAAAAGACTTTTCCTCCGGTCGGTGGGAAATAAGAAATACCCCCGCAAGTGGAAACAGCCAGGATTTGGCCCTGGGTGTGGGGAAGGCAGGATGGAGAGGGGAAAAGAAGGGATGGAGGCGAAAAAGAGATGTAGCGGGAGAGGGAGTAGGAGGAGAGAATGGAGAGATGGAAGGGGAGAAGGACGGATGGAGGGAAGGAGGGGGAGAAGGAGGGATGAAGGGTAGAAAAGAAGAAATGGAGGTTGGAAGAGGAGGGATGAAGGGTGGAAAAG